AAAGGGTTAAATAAATAATCGAGATCTTAATTTCAGTGAAAATAATCGTGATTATCATTTTTGCCATAATCGAGCAGCCCTAACATTAGCACAGTGAAGCTGGAGGATGAACGCCAACTTTTTCCACTCAATAAAAGTTAACGTGAGGGATTCTGGTGGTCAGGGACAAATGCAATCACATAGCAGGATGCTATACACAGAGCAAACTTCAGTCAGGAGAACAACTGAGATTATTAATCCACAATACGAGGTTAGTTATTAATATACTGCAACAATATGGGAATAGAACAGCTGCGAGAGAATTCAACATTAATGAATCAATGTTACGGAAATGGAGGAAGGACAGTTTTTGGCTTTACCCATATTTCAAAAGTGCTTCATCTCTTTGCTATGACTGTCGCCCGCCATAATTTGCAGATGATAATGGTTTTAGCCGCTGCGATGCTTTCGACCAAAACAGGGGCAGCTTGATGACATCATCAACATGCGCTATCGCGGTAGAGCGGTATAGTCAAAATCTCTATCGTTGGCCAAATTTATATCGTTTCTATCGTATATCGTTTATATCGCCCACCCCTACTACTTTTCTTTCTTTTTTTGTTTAATTGTACGGGAGGACAGCAGTGACAATGAGTTTAAAGCATTATATTCAGAAAGACTGCTGCATTTTTCTCCGTTTAAATACAGCAATACAAGCAAACTGGTTTACCTGCTACTTTCAAGTCCTTCAGCTCCTCCTTTCTGGAAAGCGGACAGAAACATATCCCATACACCATCGGCCCTGCATCACAAGTAACATCAAAACTGTTAGATTTCTCTACTAAATGTACATACTAATTCACCCAAAACTCAAATGGCAAATAACAGGGAGACAACAAACATCAATATCAGCTCATAGCTACATGGTTGGCTCCTATCAACAAATAACATGGCATTTACCAAAGATTAAGTAACTATCTTGTGTCAAATATTTCCACTGCCTTAATGTTTAAGGACAGTGAGATGATCAGAAAATCTGTTGGTTTTTAACCATTAAAAATGTTCTCGTTTTTCTAGCAAAGAAGGGATATTAGAAACAAAAGCATTGGACAAACTGTTCTTTAACACTGGTATTAGACCAGAATTTCACATTCTGTGTATCCAGACCAGTAAACAAAATTATTAAATTTTAAAATAAGTTGTAGGATAAAATTTCTAAACATTTTATGAAGGTTTTTAATTAATTTTCAATTAAACGTTAAAATTTGCCAAATTTGGCAAACATTTAATTTAGTTAAGTGCAATTTTAACACTATGTTTCAACATAACTTTACATACTTTGCACTCTGTGTTTCAAATATAGAAGAACCTCGAGTGGTTAGCTTAGAGTAAGTAAAAGTCACGTACCCAGCACAGGCCCCCTGCCAGCCTCATCAATGCCAAGACAGCAATCCTCCGTTTTGCAGACTTCAGGGATCTCAGAAACCAGCCGGCAGCTGACGGAGTTGTCATCTTCAAAGGGGCTGAGGTCCATGACTGATGGCTGAAAGAAAATGCAACATTAAATTACATTTAAAGTTGATTTTTGTCTCAGTGAGCCACAAAGTAAGGCGTGTATTTATTATTTTACTTACTTTGAACTTCTGTAACAGATGCCCCTGATAAATACCCTCCAAACTTTAATTAAAAAGACTAAAACCAAATAATTAAATAAATATAAGGATCAAATCCACTACAAAAATAACTGAAGCCTAACTGAAGAGAAAACAAATACTGAAAACTAGAGCTGGGCGATAGAACGATAACGATATGTATCGCGATATAACTTTTACTCGATAGAGAAATTAAGCTATCGCGATAGACCTCGCCGCTCTTGTCCTCTTAAAAAAAAAAAAAAAAAGGTCAGCCAATCCAAACTAAGTAGCGCAGAGCCGAACCAATCACAGCCGCAGCGTCACGTCGCGTGACTTGTTACGTACAGCACAAGTGCCAAGCCGCACGTGTGTTTGTTTGGGAAGCAGCCAGCGGGTAATGGAGGAAATGAGTGCGCCGACTAGAAAAATCAACCGAGCGTGACCGAAGAGAAAACAGATGATGGTTCCAACGCCGGAGAGATTGTCAAACGGAAGAGCCATAGAAGTTCCGTAGTGTGAAGGTATTTCGGCTATTTCAAGTCTGACAAAAAACAGAGTAGCGTGCACTGTAAATTGTGCCGAAAGCAAGTCTGGAAATACAATAAACTGGTGCATGCGTCACACTGTGCGCCACGTTATTGTTTCGGTGAAATGAATTTCTACAATACTGTTACTGTTAATTCTACTCTCTGCAGTGTTTAAATGCTTACATATACACACAGTTACTGTCCCTCCACACATACGACTCGGTTCTGCTTCTATGCCCCAGCTTTGTTTACTTTTTCCCACCGAGGCTTCTAGACTTCTGATTGGCCAACATTTCTGCACGGTTAGGAATCTAGCGCCACCTGCTGCTTTGGCATGTTCATAGCAGCGTTTTCCTTCATTTCTGCCTTTATGTGTGGACGGGATTATTTTTTAAAACGAAAACGGAAAATCTCCGTTTTCAAAAATACCCGTGTACGTGTGGACGTAGCCTCAGTCTCTGACTGGAAGCGCTAATTCGTCATTCGGCTTTTGTCAGACTAAAGTAACTGTTAAAACTGTTTGAAAAGCTCAGCTATACAACAAGGAGAGATTGAGAATTTCCTTTTAGTTCTCAGTTTATTTGATATTGACAAAAGTTAGTCAGTTTTGTCTGTTCTTCTGTAAAACAAACTAAGATTTATTTTTAGAATTAATATTTTGTTTCTAAGTGGAATTGACAATTTAGTCTGTTTCGTTTGTTCTATTTTGAAACTTAAACGCTTTAGCGGCTGCCTTTTGTGTAGTTTGCAATATTTGCCTTTATTTATCTGAAAAAGTCTCATGTTCCTTAAGTACATCTACCCTGTTGAACTTATTATGGGAAATAAATATTTAAATAAAAACAAGCTGCTGATTATTTCACATTTTACTTGTGAGCAACGGCACATTTAAATCTTACAAATATAGTTATTTGGCTTATATCGTGATAGATATCGTTATCGCCTGAAATGAAAAAAACATATCGTGATATGAAAAAATCTCATATCGCCCAGCTCTAATATATGTGTGAGTGAAAAAAATGAAACAGAAAATGTAAAACTTTTTAAATTAATTCTTTTGAATTCAGAAAAACTGCAACAACACACTTAATACATTTTGCTAACCCTACTGCTAGAAAGACTGCAGTAAACTGAATTTTGTTTTCTTACTCCTCCCTTTTCAAGTCGATATCCTAACTATGGTGGCTGTTGAAGGACAAACAAGTTTTAGTCAGCCAAGAGAAACCAAAAACATTAAATTTAGACTGTAACCCACAAGGGCTGCAGCTGGCTGGCAGGTTTCTACTACTGTTTAAAAAAATAAAAATAAAGAGAAAAAAATAAAAATAAAGAGAAAACAATTTCCACACACTATATTTAAGAATATTTTAATATCAATATTTAGCAACAAATCAGCAAAAAACAAACAAACTGATATGTAAGGTGGGTAAGAAAAACAATGAAATACACAACATTGTTTTTCTTACCTACCTTACTGGAGGAGAAAAAAAGCTCTACCCAGACTGAGCTCCTGACAGGAGAGCAAATGATGATGTGCGAAACTGTGGGTGTGTGTCGGGAGCTTAAAGGGACTTTATTAAGGGAGACGTAAGATCCCACTGTGCGATGGTACTCTAAAAGTCAAATGACAGCAATGTGAGATCCAGCTCTGACTCATTAAGTTATACACATTCAGACACAATGAAACACACACAGACCTACAATCGGACATGGAATAACCACACACAGTTATTCCGTTGTTGGATTACATGATTGTATGACAATTAACTTAAAGAAATTGCTCCTACATTTACTGCATACACAGAGAAAATCGCCACATTTCGGATCCTTACAACTTTAGAGAACGGATATTTTATACGAGGATTTTATCAACGGAAAAGGTGCATTTCAGAAGAAATATGAAATGCTCTGTTATTATCCGTGTGGCTGCTGTGAGCTTAAACGTTAGCTAAATGCTACGCGCCACTCAAACGGACAGTTTTAACCAGCTCGCCCTGGAGATTTGTGCTTAAGTCATTAGTTTAGGCTGCTGGGAGAAAATGCCAAAGTAGTACACATCGTCATAAACGCAAGCAAAGTTTATGCTGACCTGCTTAGATGATGAAAACACCCCAAACTTCACCTGACGAGTACTTCTGTGTGCACCGTGCAGCAGATTTGGCGCCCCTGGATTGACGTCATCATCGGTTCTTCTTCTCTTGTGTTTGATGGCAGTTCTAATTCTCTAGAGTTGTATTACTGCCACCCCCAGTTTTTTAGTCAATGATTTCAGTCTTTTCTTCCCCCGTACCGATTCCCTTTAGAGGGCCGCAAGTTCCAAAATTAGTTAAATAAATACATTATTAAATAATCAAATAAAAGTGTAATTAATTAATTAAATAATATTAAATTATAAATTATAAATAAGTAATGTATCAAATGTTTTAAATGAATTGGACAGCTATTTAATACAATAATTATATATTCATTAATTCATTAATTATTCCCTTAATTAATTAATCAATAAAAAAAATAATAAATTGTTTAATTATGTATTTATTTCCTTTGTTTTGGGACTTGTAGTCCCCCATAAGTCCCTACACTAAAGTTTTTTAACTCTCTGTCACCGTCAGGAAAACTCTAATAATCTTTATTCTTGCATCATTCCAGCACAAAGACGAAACATGCTGTTTCTCTTTCTGAGCCAGTAACCCTATAATATTCCCTATAATGAAATTTTGTATAAACTAGTGTACTATTCTTTGAGTCAGAATGAACATTCCTGTCACAAAGTAGAAGCGCCAATCAGGTTTTGGAAAACTGAATTGTACGTATCCTTTATTTATCCAGATACTAAGGTCTCAGTGACTTTAGAGATGCCTTTTTAAAGAGAGATCTGGCCTAGAGGACATCAGAAATTGCAACTAAACATGTTAAGAGGCTAAAAAGGACTTGACTGATTACAACAACTACAATGATGCAGAGTCCTAAAGACACAGGCCCATTAATATAGTTGCTTTCAACAACCCACTAATTGAGTTTCTTTCCTCTACTAAATCTGCACAGCTTTAATTTTAACCCTAGCCAATCCTTGCACATACATAACTTTTTTCTGCAGGGGATGAGGATGTGCTCTTCTGTTTCTGTAATAGCCATGAAATATGATCCGTTTAAGCTGCAGTGACCAGTTCTTATCTGCTCTTTATATTATTTTCAGTCTTGTGTCTTGCTTCTTGCCTCCTCTACTTTATTTTCTGTCTCATGCAAATGTCTCTTATTGAGCTTTCCCAGCTCTTTAGCCATTTTTATAAGTATTGACCAAACTATGATATTCCTCTTTGATTTGACTGAAAAGTTGGCATCAGCTAATGAGCAATTCATAATGGGACCATGATGATTTCTTTTTGCTGTTTTAGTTGTTAAGTATTCTGACACTCAGTCATTATTCAAGGTGACAAACTACCTCACATTTTGAATGGTTTGCAAATGTCAGCATACACGAATCTCACAAATGTAGTTAAAAAATAAATGTTTTGGTCTGTGCCTGGACCGATACTGTAACTCAAACATGATTATGAGACAAAACAGCAGCTGAAATCATATTTCACATGTTTAAAAGAGCTTAAAATTTAAAAGCTTATTTAAGTGAATAAATTTAGCTGAATTGTTTGTGTGGATGTATACAGCAGCTCTGCCTCTCAGCATTACAAATATAACTGTGATTTGTTCACCCTGTTACATATGAGAATATTCCTTTCTATTATTTTCTCTTCCCAATGTTCTTCTGAATCCCGTCTGACAGCTGGAAACACTAACTGCTGCTTCTGTTGCCTGTTTCTGCACTGAGGTCTTCTTCTTCTTCTTCTTCCTCCCCTCTTTTTATGGCATCAGCAAACTGTATCAAAACTGTAACCGCCACTGTTTGTTGAGGAGTGATACTGCACCAGCTTCTTCTCTTTAATCAGCATTTGGCTGCTGTCTGACCCAAAAATGTTATAACTGACAAGCTGGAGTCTTGTGAAAAACTATGTACACTCCATAGTTTTTGTATAACAACCTTTATCAGCAGTAACTATCTGTTTCTTTTCTGCAGTAAGTATCTGTTTTTTGTGTCAGTCGCTCACATTTGTGAAGGAATCTCTGCCTACTTTTCTTTGAGGTTTGCATGCATGCCGCAGCATTCAATCAGGTTTTGACTAGGACCCTGCAACACTTTGAGTCTTTTCTTTAGCTTTATCTGTTGGGCAGATTGTGCCAAATTTAATTCTAGAATACTTTCACTCAGTGACTGCAAGGTGCCAAGGACCCGTGTCTGCAAAAAGGCCATAGCAATAGTTTGGTGTGAGCTGTTTCCAAATGTCATGCTGTGCATTAAAGTCAAACACCCCCATTTTGGTCTCAACTATCCAAAGGACATTTTTCCAGAAGTCTTGTGGTTTTTTTCAGACACAATTGTGCAAATGTAAGCAATGAATTCCCACTTATGACTCTTTGAGGAAATTGTAGCATGTGCATTTAGATAGTCATGTGTACTCCTGTCTAACACCAGTGTCTGTGCTGTGAGTTGCTGTAGCAACGTTACGATCACCCAAATAACATAATATGAATTACTTGAGCTTGGTTTGGCTGATTTCTAATTTAGCCTTGAAAATGGATGAAAGCAGATAAGTAATATAATAGTATTACATTATAATACTATTTGGGATTATTTGTACTGATGAAGTATAAAAAACCAAATCTTTGAAATAAAAGTATTTCGAAGTATGGTCTTATGTGAGTTTGTTTGGACTTTATATGAGTTTATGTAGCATAACACAATAAACTCACCAATATTTAACAAAGTATGAAATGCTTTATTGAATAAAATGACGTAAAGGTGCAGAAAAGCAAAAATGCAATGTTTTCATGTGAATATCTATATCTACTCATGAAACTTGCTCAGAATCTTTTTACATTCGTAAAAAAGGTTTTTTGTTTTTTTTTAGCGCACTCCTTCACATGCCCCCTTTTAAAAGCCATTCAAGGTTTGTTTTTCACTTTTGTCATGGCCTGAAGGTAGGCAAAAAGCTGGAGCCATGGCTGCTTATCTGTTTTTTTCTCATCTTGCCCACAACATGATTTTAAGAGTGTTTATTCTCCGACTGGTAGGATTAATTTAAGATGCCACAATTTAAGATTAATCTAAGATGCCTTTGTGTAACGTAACAACTTCCCTTGGGCTTGGGCTGCTCTTTTCATTTAAAACTCCCACTTCCTTATTTTGGCGCATGTCTGCATCGCCCCCAATGCGGAGAGAGCAATGAACTTGACCTTTGAATTTTGCGTGCCATCTGAATGGGTTTAAACTGCAGCTGAGTGTGGAGGCAGGGAGGGAGCCTCAGGTGGAGAGGAGAGGGTAGAGTGAAAGGAAGGCCATGTACAAAAGTCCGAGTGTACGCTGGTTACTGAGCTGAAATTGGCCTTGCCTCTGACTCTTTACACCCACCCCTTCTCTCTTTCTGTCCCTTGCTTTCGTTGAATGGCTCTCTTTGTCTTTCTCAGTAACACGCAGTCCCCAGCCGATTAAATGTGGGGGAATTAGTAGTCAATTTTAGCCTACCACACACACAAACACACTAAACAGCTTATGGTGGTGGGGCTCGGGTTGTGTTGTTATTACGGTTCACACATCAGCTGCGTGTTTTTAATTAATTTCTAGTTTTTTTCACCCTTCACTTGCTAACTGCTTCATATGTTATTCCTGAACACCTACCACTGCATTAAATCACTCTCACACAGGACTTTCTTTTTTATAAATAAATTGATTTAATAGATGACAACAATAATATTTCAACATTGCTTTTCTGGTAAGGAAGCAAAATACTCAAGTGAATGTATAGCAAACACTTTACAAAACTATCCAGAATTATACAAAATGGAAGAAACAAAGGTGTGACACGATGCATTATTACTTACATAAAAATATCAACTATGTGAGAAAAGGGTCAGTATAAAATGATAAAGTATGTGTCACGTAATAAAGATGAAGCTGTGGTAATGACCATTATTCACATTGGTAAAAGGGGGGAGAGGGCGCAACATAGGAAGAAAGTGTAAAAACAAAAGCGTGGCGTTGGCCCACATGTGGAGCAGAACGGCCGTACATGTGATTCTAATCCTTAAGCAGGACCCAAGCTGGCCAATTATCTTGAGAGATTTGGTTGAGACTTTGCACTTATAGATTTGAACTCTGTTAAAGGTGGATCAGGAATCTTTTAGGCACTTAGCAATCAAAAAGAAAAGTGGAAATTTGCTTTAGTCACCCATGTATCCAGTCATATTTCTCCTTTGCTGTTGGCACAAAACAAACAGAGCTGAGGTAAGTGTCCGAGACTGAGCAACAAGTCGAAATGCATCTTTTAGAGCTCTCTTTCCCTCTCTTTTTCCTATTTTTCCCCTTAAATGCTTCATTGATCACTTCAGCAAAGTTAATATGAAGGCAGGACAGTGATACAGTGAGACTGCGCTATCTACAGAGAAAGAAAAGTTGCAGCTATCCTTTTCCGGCCATGAAAAAACAACCTCAGGGATCATCGAAAGATGTATTTTTTTTTACCCCCCAAAAGCAGTGGTGCAGATGTTGATGTGTAATATCAAATCAAACACAATAAAGTTACACCCTAGGATATCCACAATGACAATAAACTTACTACTCATATAAAATAACACAAAGACATCACAAACAACCTTTAGTTTGGTTAATAAATTCTGATTATGTCAGTCTAAACCCAGCACTTCTGGGTCAAATCGGAGTCACTCATCAATCCATTTGTCCACTTTCAACGTCTCGTTCACTTGTCTATCTTTACACCCTTTCCTGTATGTCCCAACCTACGAAATTTTTGATGGCACATGTTTGTTAAGTTTTCTTCTGCTTTTGATTGGCGGCTGACCCAGGAATCACACTCTATACTGTGTGGGTATTTTTTTTTAACTGTTTAAGGCCCCATGGATGCACATTGCATTAAACTGACTAAAAAAGTAAAAACTTCTAATATAACATCGATATGGCACGGGCATACACACACACGCGCGCGCTCACACTCACATTTTTTGCACACACACAGATCCACTCACACACTTCCCATATTTCCTTCGGCTCAGCTGGTCTCCCTCAAGGTCTTGTGAGTGTGGTGTAAACAGGCTGCTCCCAGTGAGTGGGGCTGTGAGAGGGCGCCACGCTGGAGGGGTCTCCTATGGTAGT